CAACTGAAGACTCCATAACTGTAAACCCAAGAGGCCAAGCAGGCCCAGATGAGGTGAACACCACCATGTAGCTTGGTGCAACACCCACAGTACACAAACTCTTCTCCAACTGATCTTTCACAAGTTATCTATCTGAATTTACGTTACTGAAACGTGACTGACACAGAAAGCGTGTGCTTTGGTATAATTCAATTTCAGGTTTCTCTGTTCAACAAAAACTCTGGCAGAGGGGCATTATATGGAAAGGTGAATAGAGAAGAGTCAATTTGCATCAAGTGTTTACGAAGTTTATCTCTTTAGTTCAGGTATCTCTATGAAACACCAACTCATTGAAGCATAAAATACCAAACACCTCCCCTTTAAAACTCATTTCTTGAATCAAAAAAAACCGTTCCCTGACACAAGAGTATGATCTACTACTCTTGGAGTTACCAGTCTTAGATATCTCACTGTGCCTCAGTCATTAAAGTCAGGCAGGTGAGTTTGGTTTTGTTTTTTTTCCCCAGAGTTCATGCTATCCACTTGTCCACCTCAATTTTCTGCAATAAGCAGAAGCCATAAGAATACTGAACTACTGAGAACTGTTTGTAAATGGAATATGCACCTATTTACCAACTACTTTTGTTACATTTGCCAGGCATCTTGCAATGTTATAGGAGAATAACCTGCTAATACACTGCAGACTGACTTCATGGGAAAAAAACAACAAGAAATCCACAAGTGACATCCATCATCTAGGTATGATTTCTCTCTCTGTAAAACTAACAGAATCATAAGCTACTATTGACACAGAGCCAGCTGAAAATGTGAACTGCAGCAAGAGACATAATGCAGATAAATGTTCCTTTTTGTGCTTTAAAGAGTTCCATAGGCTCTTTTGTCTAAATATTTTCATTAATTACACTGTCTAGTAGAATCCAGCACTTTTTGCAGAGGCTAAATTTTTCTTGTTGCACTCAGAGGCTGCTTCCCCCTTCCCCAGCTCTATCAGCTTAAAGAGAAAGTGGTTATTCTGTGAAAGAATATGGAATCTCCAGCCAGAAATGTGTTCTGGGCAGCAAACAAAATTACTATGGGCTACAAGTTGTACCTATACTTACACACACAATAATTAGTTCAAACTTCACAGCACTCAAATATGCAATTTTATGTAGCAGTACACCAATTACAGTTACTGTTACTGTCTCCTACTAGAGCTAGATATGCTATTTTAAGGTCTGGTTGTATGATTATATCTTCTGAGACAATAAAATCAAGATCACCAGCAAGGCATCATTTGTACAATTATTGAAGATTTTTGGCATGGAAGTTTAGATACAGTTTCTAAGAGAGCCACAATGCCATTGGGAAGAAATATTCCTCCACCATCAAATTTGTTTTTAAATGAAGACATGTGCAATACCATGGACATGTGCATGTTCGTATGCAGAGCCTTGCTCAGTTGTAGAAAAAAGTGATGACAACTTTGGCAAGTAGAGGTGGCTAATTGTCATTTGAGCTGGGGACACTACAATACTCAAATCTAAACAGACTTTGCTGAGCTGAATGCCACCATTGCTGTGGCACAGGACTGACTTTGTGCTCACTGGAGCAGCAGTTCTTCAGGAAAGGGAACAGTGAATTCTGGGGAACCAATTTGTTAAACATTGCTGAAGGAACACGGCAGAGATGTGGGTGTTCAGTGCTCTGATTTAACAGTCATTTGAAATGAGTATGAATAGACAGCATTACAAATCAGCAGGCTGCGCCTCAACTGAGGAATTAATCAGTGTGTCGTGATTTCTGGAAAGCATCACTTACTTCAGTGGACAGAGAACTGCCCCAAAACAAAAAGACATAAGAGGAAGAGGAGGGAGAACCCCTGTAGAATAGTTATGTCTGTCTTGTCGGTCACAGAGGAAAATTAATGTTATTTTTATTCTTTTAGAACTATTTTAAGCAATTATATCTCATTTACTTTGGTGCCAGACAGTGCTTGCAAGAGTAAGGTCTCCTCTACTGCAAACAGCAGTACTCTTTAGCCTGCAAGTTTCAAGGTCACACAGTATTAAACTTGCAAAGGCATTGGCACAAAGAAGGTAGTAGATGTTAACAACAATACTGACATAGCTTCCTGAAATAATCCATCTTTTCATTTTCATATTCATTAGAAAATTCAAATGATTTTTAAATGTGTAATGACACAAAACAGAGCCTATAAACCTACACATTTCTCAGTTAGGGAAAAGTTATTCTTATCTGTGAGCTACTTAGAAATCTGATAACAACTAAAATAAGTACTGTCACTTGACAGAAAAAGGAATTCAAGACATACAAATGAAAAAATCTTCTACCTTAAATAGACAGAAGATATGCTTGAACTGTACAGTGTTCTGGGATCTGCACACTACTCACACACACCTCTGTCTTAGCAGGTCCAGTGCACAGTTCAGTACTGGTGCATCAGAGCACCAGCCAGTTCAGCATAGTCTTTCTCAAGTAGCCATGGTTTAAACACAGATGTATGTAAATTTTTAATGTAAATATTTTAATATTAATTCAATACTTCCTTCTTCTGTACTTTCCATGCCCCTTGTGATGCAAATGTATCTAACTAAACCCATCATCCTTTTTGTGGCATTGTGAGGTCAGAGACTACATGAACTCAGATCAATGATTTACAATTATTCTCAAGTAAAAGAAATAAATGTCAATAATTATAGCTCACAGAATTCATTAATTTTTTTCTGACCTTTTTCAGTGCAGATGATAAAGTTTTGCTTCTGTTTTCATTTTAAAATAATTTTTTTGATTATATACATTTGGTTTTTTTCCCCTTTATTAAGTGAATTGTAGGTATCTAGAAACCATTGCATCTTGAACCTGTAAAACCACAAACCAATCGATCCCTACCTCCAATTGCTCTTCAAAACTGTTAAAAATTACTTCTGTTTTGATTTGGATGTTCAATATTTTAAATTAGCACTTTTTTTCCACAGGAATAGAGGCCACTGGACAGAGAGAAACTTTTCCTACTTTGTGGATGTGAAGTGTATGCAACAGTAAAAGCAGGAAAAAGAGTTTCCACTTTTAATCTGGACAAGACAAAATCCCACTCACTCTCAAAAAAGTTAAGTTACCCAATTTTTACTTACATTGCTATCTCAGGGACTTCTGTATCCCAGAACTCACTACTGGGTTGTAGTCTGGGGAAAGAATTCCTCCAGAAATCCCAAAGGATTTTGTGAGTAAAGAAAAAGGCAGCAAAATTGTAATGAAATAGAGAACACTGAACATTGCAAGAAGCATCACAAATACATACAGCTGGGTTTATGTTTTTAATAAATTAGGGCTGGCCACTTTGTCTGCGTAGCTCAGTTCCTTTTTTATCCTCTCTCACTGCAGCTTTGTCTCTTTTTCTATCTACTCCCCAAACTAAGGCTAAATGCCAGTGATATTTGATAGCTGAATTGCAGTTCCCAAGGGCAGTCTGGATATAAATTCATATCCAAAGTCCAACCCAAAATAATAAAAATCTTTCAGAAGTCTTACAGAAATAACTGGTCATTTCAATGTCTTTTCTTTCTAATACCACTCTTGTCTGGTTTTGTTTTGGTGGTTTTCTTTGGGGGTTTTTTTGGTGGTTTTTTTTTTTGTAGATTCATTTATGTTTACCACTACTCTATTATTAACATCATCTTCTGTTGGAGTCACACACAACTTAGGTTCCTCACAGAAAAGCATCAGTTAGTTTTTTCCATAAAACATGTGGGTAGTAAGTAAAATGAATGTCACTCTGAGGTCTTAGAGACAAAGATCTTAAAGGTAAGGATATTCATAAACATTATACACAGGAGAAAAACACGCCAATATTTCTCGCTATTAATTATAAAGTTGCAACCTGGAGTTGTATTCTAAAACCTGGAGTCTTCACATTCCTTAAGAATCTGACTATAAACACTGTTCTTTCAAATCTGATACACAAAGGATAGGACAAAGAGCTGAGAAAAGGAAACAGAATCATTCCTAAGAAAGACTCACCCTAGGCAAGAAAAAATGTAAGGAGTTTTCCTGCTGTAACTTTGGGCATTTTTGTTATGTGCAGGTTTTCTTTGATTCATCTGTTCTAGGAGGATGGTGCACCATACAAGCAATGCCAACATTTTGTTTGCCCAATATCGGGTCAAACAAATAAGACTGCATTGAAAATCTAATGTAACTAAAATGTTTGCATGGCAGCACAAAGATACAAGGCTGAATACAGAGACAGACTAAAGTTTATTCTTCCTTGCTAACCAACCACAACAAGTAGATTAAGGAAGAGCTGTCATGTAAGAATATTTTACTCTCTGTTAATAAAGTAACTGTCCAAAGCTACATTTCAAAATTACTAAACAAATAGTTTAGTAAGAATTGTGGTCTTACAAACTCAGAAAATTACCTAGTTTATCCTAATAGACCAGCTTACTTTTTAACTACAGAAAAAGAATAGAAAAAAATAGAAGACAACAATTAGATCAAATAAATTGATTACTCAGTAGTTGGTAAAGAACTGAAGAATAGTTTCTGTAATTTGCCATTTTGAGCCTGGGCTAGACAATTCAACTATTTAGGTTCAGATATTACTTGTCCCTCAAATAAATCCTTAAGGAATTTCCCTCATCTTTAAATTTTTAGCTCTGATTTCTCAACTTTTTTGTCACTCTCATTAATACTTTTTCTATATAAAAGTATTAAAGCCATACTAACAGAACAAACCTTGGGAGACTCATTTGCTATCATTACATTTTAGGCCATAATTTGATGGTTGTTTACTATAAATACCTTTAACTCATGCACACAGCATCTCCCCTGATTTCAACTCACTCAAATTACTGAACTTTACAAATCAGGACTGTGATCTGGGACAGTCTAGCTTTAAAAGAAAAACCATCACTTCTTCTTGAATAAAGACATTGCATAACGTAAAGAGTTAGCTTGCTCTTCATATCTGTTGGAAACAGAATCCAGTACAAAGTCCATGACTAAGCTCTGCACTGAACTAACTACTAGAAACAGGTAAGTTCCAGCCTAAAATTGGTATCACAGTTTTCACTAATGCTTGATCAGAAGGAGTATTATAAATAGAAGGACTATAAACACGTTTAAATCCTTGCTATATTTCTCTTAAGGAAAAATGTTGAGCTTCAGTAAGATTTATGAGTAAGCATAGACACAGAAAAACCTAAATGAAACTTCCAAATTGAACTATGCACTGATTTTCATTTTGACAAGGACTTGCCTCTCACTAAGACATCAGTCACTATTTTGTCAACAGCATAGATGCTCTGTAGAACCCAGAGTACAGTCAATGGTATTAAACCAAGCCCACAATTTTTTTCAATGTTCTCCTGGTTTAAGCAGAGAGACTGAGAACTGCAAAATGTGGCAAGAAGCAGATTCCTATTTGTGAATATTCATGTAAAACTTTTGATAGCATTCAAAAAACATGAGAAAAATTCTTGTGCTTTATGTCTGATACAAATCATGTTATTAGGTTAGCAATTCTGTATGGGAATCATGAATGGTCTCTGTGCATGTCAAGATTGCTTCTTTCATGTGGTACATACCGTGCCTTTGAGGAATGCCTCATTCACTTGAAAACATAGTCCTAGAAACAATGCTTTGTCTACTGTTCTGCCCCTTGTCATCTTGCATTAGCAGTAGAGGAGGAGAGCTGATTCAGATAGGGATAGCTTCCTAGTACATTTACTTTTGATTAAAGACAATATTATTCTGTTTTATGCAGTAGGGAAAAAAATTCTGCGCTATTAAGAGTCTATAGCACCCTAATGCAATCTGGCAGAACACAGAAGGAAAACTGGGTCCCTACTGAGTTCTCTGAAGAAGCCAGACTCAAACAGAGGAAAAACACGGGCAAGGAGAGCTCAGACACAAACCTGACCACAAAGAAAAATTAAAAGCTTATTCTAAGGGGTAAAAGTTTTCTATTATAAATAATAGAGTCAGTAGAGTCTTATTAAACATATTTTCTTCTGCACTATTTGTGAGTCAGATTCCCTTGTCTATTACTATAAACATAGTGTCACCAGTTAGTTTTGCCTAAGTAGCCCCCACTGGCTTGTTTAAACTAGAGCATTCCTTTTTAAAGACTCATTTCTTTTTTAGTTACTTTGCATGCAGTGCGAAACAGTGCATGCTCTGCTAAAACAGAGCTGCACAGGAGGAGGCCAACTGCATAATAATTCTTGAAGAGACTGACAATAGCTTGAATTAAATTATGCTTTCATTTGTCTTATGTGTTTCAATCTAATTTGTCTTAATAGCATGTTTGCAACACGTTAATTATAAGGACTTGACACTATACAGTTGGTATTTAGCAGAACAGTGATTTGACTAGGAAAGTGAAATCTAAATAACTTATATGCACACAAATTTTTGGCAAAAAAATAGATTTGCAATTAAGCAATTTTTCCTGCATTACCTATGAACTCAGCATTTCTAAAAATGATCATCATAAACCACCATGTCTCAGATATCCTTTCATTTGTCTAGTGGTCCTACTAGAAACAACCTACACTGCACAAAAAAAATCTACCCATTACATAAAAGCCAAATGAACAGTTAAACACAAAAAATCCACAGAGAAGCCTCCAAGCTGAGCTGAGACCTGTTACTGTGTTCTGTGAGAGTCCTGCCATTGGCCTGTCAATGGGAGAGAGACCCCACACCAAAAGCAGCACCAGCATTTCTCTGAAGTCAGTGAAACTGTACTTCTTACAGCAGCTCTGAATTTGGCTCACTGAGGTACAGAATGCACCAAGGAGGGGGCAGGAGCAAATCTCAAGTGCTGAACATAACTTATTCATACATTCCTCAAGTAATCAGAAGGTAGACTAAAATGTTATTTAAAAAAAGAGGTGAGAAAGAACTTGCTGACATCAATTTGTCTTTGAAATATCTTTCAGTAATATAAAAGGCTTCCCATGTTACTTCTATGAATTGTCTCCCCCACCCAGATCCCAGGTGTCAACTAGCCTCAGTTCCAAATATATTCCAAATTAAACACTTTGCACATCCTCCCTGAATGTGTTCTTTTCAGGGGTGGGTGTGCTGGACAGTTTGGCAGAAAGCATTTGCTGTAATTAGACAAACACTTCAGGAGAAACAGTTGAACAGATTTTCACTGAACTGCTGTACCTAGTTAGATTTGTGCTTCTGTTAATAACAACCTCTACCACTTTCAACCCTAAAGATCTGAGATGCAAAAGACAGCATGAATAATTCAGTGAGCAGAGGGTCCTGAACCTACCCTTCCTTTCATAAAGAGAGAAGTAATGCACCTCAGGTATAAAGTTTTACTCTAGCAGGGCTTAATCTTTCTTTCTCTTTCCGTGCTTTGTTACTAAGTGCTGTGTAGGTGTGAAAAGCTGTATTACCATGTAATTTTGTTAGGATCAGACTTCCAACTACCTGCTTTGCTTCATGTTCATTTACACAGAATAATCAAAATCTGTTTTATTTCCTAACAATAGCAAATTTTGCTATAATTATTTTAAAATGGCAAATTCAAGGAATAGCTTCCTGGTTAATTCACACATGGCACCTATCCACACATGGATAAAATACCATATTATTTATTACCTTTCTCATAATAAACTTTGTAATAAACAACTGAAAAACTAATTTGTTTTTTGACAATGGCAAACCTTTGAATAGAGAAAATCACAGAGTCGAACACAGAGTGCAGTCCTGTGTGGTAAGTGGTCTCCATAGCAACCAATAGATTTTATGCTAAGTCTGGCCTTTAAAAACATTTCACGTTTACCACCGAGAAAAAGATGGCCTTGATTTAAAAATGATACAACAAGTATCTTGAATGTGCATGCTTTCTCTTCTCTCTTGCAAATAAAATTAGCAGACGTCCCTTTAACACTAAATCCTCTGAGAGCTGCGTGTCATCATTGACGTATGTGTGGGCCTCCTTTAGGCTTGGAAATTTTTTTTCCTTGCATATCATTGCAAGACTTGAAGCCCTTTCCCCCCCATTTACCCCTCCTTGTTTTTCTCTATCCAGAACAAAAATAGAACATCAAGTTCTTATCTCAGCCAGTGATCATGGTGACAGTGAAAATATTATTGCATGCTTATCTATAGCAGTTTCAATCATACAAGCTTATAATAACTTGCAATAATGGAAGAAGTAGTAACTATAGCTGCAACGCCTGCTACAGCCTAATTTATTTTCACTCCACATTCAAGTGACTGAAGCCCCTAAAAGGAAATGTATTTTTAATAAAGAAAGATTCCAACTTAAGAACATGTGTATGTAATTATTGACAGTGATATGCAATAAAGAGTTGTATGATTATAATCATTAGCACTTAATGAGAATTTTGTTTGCAACACTGGAATTTGAGTAACAGGACATGAGAGTAGATATAGAGAATTCTAACTGAATTTATTGTTACCTTTTCAATTCTTATAACCTGGCAATATAGGGCACATGACTTTAACATTTAATCCAAAGCAGAGCTTGCATGCTCAGGTTATTCCTCTTGGCATGGGTGTGGGATGCCTGCTTTTCGTTGATTAGGAATGCAGCCTGGAGAGCTTTGGATGTGTAGGAGGGGAAGATAGAGAGATCATTTGTTGCTATTCCTGTAAAGGTAATTTCAACATGCATTCTGTCATCATGGTGACAGTAATAGCACTTCATGCATAGCCTTTCACATCATCGAATGTTTGGTCTCTGTATTCCATTCCATCACAAATACCATAAAAGCAACACTCTACCACACTGATAGCTTTCTCCACAATTTCTTTTGTGCAAAGTACACTTTCTTTTCACTCTAACTTCAGAAAGGTCCTGTGTTGAGTCTTAGTAAAGAAGGCATCAGAATCAAGTTCTGTTTGCCATGAAAGAAGACAATATAAGAAAATTTAATACCCTTTTTTTTATCTTTCTACTATGTTCTACTAGACTTGGGTTTTTCCAAAGATGATCATCAATGCACCAACAAAAATTGGAGCCTCCACGGTGAGGGAAACAGGCAGAAAAACAGACGCTAAAGAACTTCTGTGTGAAGAAGCATGATCTCCCGTACATCTCTAGAGAAGACAAAGCTTTGTCGCCTGTAGAAAATAAATATGCTACAAATCTACCTAAGATACAGTCAGTGCAGCCCCAACAAGGCCAGAAAATTCTCAGGTAATGATAGGGAAAGGCAAGGTAAACACTGCATGCCATTCCTTTTATTTCTTGCATCAGGATACACTAAGCCACTGAGGGGAATCATTAATCACAGTAACAATGTGTGACGGTGTGCCAACGAAATCTCACTGTAGCATCAGTGTATCCTCCCCACCGCCGCCACCCCCTCCTCCCATGCTCTTTTCTTCCACACAGATGGAGAAACACCATGCCAGAGTTATGATTAGCATAGGGTTGGAGTTATCAGAAACAACTGAGCAGTTCCTGACAGACCACTTTTCATATTTAGAAGAGAAATCAGAAAGACACGTACTGCAACTTCATTGCAAAAGGATGGAAGATGGAAGCAGAATGCTCCAAGGGAGGACCCCACCTGTCAAGTGCAGACAGACCTCCACAGAACTAGTAAGGACCACAGTGAGAACTTAAGATCTGCATTCCAGACCAAGCAGCACCACAATTTCCTTGGGAGTTGTGCTCTTAAAGCTTGCCTTCATGCCCTGCTTTGAAGGGAAAAGGTGAGTATTAATACTATGGGATGCAGCAGCATTTCCAATAAGCTTACAGGAATACCACTGCAAAAAGACATCTTGCACAAAACATAGGATAAAGATGATGGTACTGTATTAGCATGCCTTCTACCCAGAATCTTCTTCCTTCACATTCTCCTAGAAGCTAATTCATTTATTTTGGTTTTTTTTAAGCATTCTCTTATCATCATATGTACTTTTAGCAACTCTGTTTTGACTGTACAGACCTTTCATTTTCCCTAGTTCTCTAAGAGAAAAAAAGTATCACATGGCCAATTCTGAAATGGACAAGAATTGATGTGTTCTGAAATAAATATCTGCTCTTGTTTTGTGTTATCTGGAGAGACACACATACCTAGAGAAATGTTCCCCTAATGCAGGAGTTTCTAATATTGACTCATAGCTATTCTAGTGAATAAGCCTGAAGGTCTGTGCTTGGGGAAAATGAAGCAGGTAAAACACCCAAGGCTTTCATAAGGCAGATTCAACAGCCTTTTTCTTCTTGCTTCTAATTGGAGATGCAGCAATGAGATCTTTCCTCAAACATGGCAGAGTACTGATCATATTTGAAAGTGGCAACTTGTTATTAAATACCTGTCAAATATTCCAGCTTCTATAGTTAATTACAATATAATATTCACTGCCTTGAGACAAAAAAGTGTCAACATAAATTTGAATTAGGGTGTGAGAGGGAGCAAGACAGTAGGTCCAGGCACTAACCATCAAAGCCTACACGCTATATAGGCAGACCAAAGGTCCACCAGCTGCTGTCCAAGATAAAAATAGTCCCTCAGAAGTATTTTAATAGGTATTACAAAAACTTGTAAATGGACCCAACTTAGAAGTTCAATTCTGTCACTGCTTTCTCCACACAGAGAATATGTGGTTGTTCTAGTAAAAACATTGTTTTACATAATGAAATATCCTAGAGCCTATTAATTTCTACATATAAACTGTTTTAATGTAGATGTGTCAGGAATCTGAAAATAATGCCTAGTGACAGCTCTAGGATTAAGCTCTTCTCACTTAGGTTGAATTGCTAACTTTGATTGTAAATTGCTTTTAAAGAGCAAAGCATAGACTGTAAGTCCTCCCAATGCCTCCTACTAACTGACATCAACAAGGCAACTGGGACAAGTATATGCTACTAATTCATCTTAATAATCTGTCAGCAAATCTGTTCTAATAGGATGTGTCTTTCATTTTGATTAAAATGACCCTCTGAAATGTGGTCCTCATAGAAAGTTGACAAGCAGAGGCAAATTTTGAACAGTCTGGCACTTCTAATTTTATCTCTGGAAAATCAAAGTGCTGTTAAATACTCTTACATAACTACTCCCTCTGTTTGTCTGTCTTTTCTTAGCTTCCATATGAAGAACCTGTTAATACCCCTTTGATGATCAATAACAAATAGTCCTCTTTGGTCCATGTGACACATTATTTTATTTTTTATTTTCTGCCTCCATGGTATGTCTTCTAGTATTGCTTGGAAATGCCAGTAATTCAATGCTGTAGTCAAATGAACTATATGTTTTCTTAAACATATAGCCATGCTATGAAAACACTTCTCATGCCATCTGGAAGGTTATAATCTCAGGATTTTTTAATGTATGAGGTGATGGGGTACATCACGTTGTCCCAATACTCATACACATTAAACTCTTCAATATTAGATTTTTATTGTGTTGCTATGACATGGTATTTTCTTTAGGAATCTCATTTGTCCTCTGTCCTAGGACCAATCATCTTGAATTGGTAACAAAAACAGATCTAACATTTACTGTAAGGATGTAAGACCACAGATTTGATATTAAAGTTGTCAACACAGACTTCCTGAGTTTTCTAATTAGACCATAATACATTTCACTTTATGATTCCTGACACACATAAAATGCAATTTCAGTGTTACTATTCTAGGTCAAGTTGCATGTACATTAGAAAACACTGACAGTGCCTTTAGAAGCTAGTTTTAGGCATCAGGTAGACCAAAAGTTGCATCAAGAAAATAGCCCTGACTTGGAAAGGCAGTCGGGAGAAGAAAATATTCCCAGTAGGCTGTTGGTAGGAAGACAATAATTGAGTAAATCTGAAAAATCCACTAAAAAAGTCCACCAAGTTTTTGCTTTTCAGCTACCTGTCATAAATTGTTAGAAAACACAGGTTCTAACACTTCAGCTAGCTAAAATGGAAAAAAAAAAAAAAAAGAACAAGATACATGAGTATTTTTGAGAGGTTTATGCACATTTCTTCCTCCACAATTTTGGAAGGGCTAGTTGGTAATTTCATTCATGCTCTACTTAATATAATGGGAGAGTCTGGACCTGTTCCAAGACAATGTGATATAATGAAGAACATATGTTTCATCTTGAACATACACATGCTGTATTCCCTTCTTACTTTTCTAGTCCCATACGTCTATCCTATCAGCATCAGCCTTAAAAATAAAAATTATGAGACAAAACATTATCCCACAAATTCTGATTTACTGTCTTTTCACATGAAAACTAACTATTAATAAGGTTTTAAATAATAATTCAATGCCAGGAGTATAGAAATATGGGACAGAATAAGAGAAGAAATATGAAAGTTCAGGTAGCAGTTTTAGTACAATTTACCTTCCTAGATAGATCAGTTAAAGCCAGCTTGATACATTTTTTCTCCCTCTTCCTGTACTAAAATTCGAGTTGTTCTCTCTAATGTGCAAGACAATTCCTTGATAATTTCATCTTTGCATTAACTGGAAAGAAAGGGTTCATATGTATCAAACACAAGAAGTTCCAGATTCCCCAGCTCTGTGTTGGGTAACGACATGTGACTGCCAGAATCAGGCTTTGTACACCTCAATCTCATACCACAATAGTAATATGTTACTACTCTTCCACAGTGTAGATTTCCCTGATAAAGAACTGGGATCCTGGACTATAGTATTACATAGCATAACATGGCATTTCTGTCAGAAAGCAATGGAAAAAAGTATCCACCTCCTCCGGACTCATATTCTTGTTGTAGCCTCCCCTCTGCCCCTTCCTTTTGGGCAGCCTTTCAGGATCTGAGCTGAAATATGCCACAGAGGGGTGGAGCATGTGTATGTGTCTTTGGAGGGGGGCTAGTTCTAAGGACACACATGGATGTTCAGCACCTTATAGTCAGACATGTACCAATTAAAGGAAAAAAGCTGGGAACATACAGCAAATGTGAAAGGAAAAGCAGGGACCACAACCTCTCGCAGGAACATGCACAAAACTGCACCAAAGATAGAATTAGCAAAAGAATGGAGCAGAAAAGCACATAAATTTTCCATTTCTATGTCTTTGGTTTTTAAATAAAGGCAGCAGTCTGATATGAAGCTGGATTTTCACATCTGTTTCCTGTCTTCCAATTCTGAATGAGTGCTAGATCAGATTTTGGATTAATACCTAGAGTATTCAATGGAATGTGATACCCCTCCATGGATTCCACTTTTTTTTGTCTGGCTTAGGATACCAAAACCCATCCTGAACACCATTTCTTGTCACAAGTCTCACATGGGTACTTGAAGCAGTGAACCAATACTGTTCCTACCCTGTGCAAGAGGGAGAGGAGGCTTACACAACCTGCACAGCAGAGGGAAGCTGCCAGCCTGCCCTGAACAGGACTCCCAAGCATCAGATTCACAAACCCTGCAAGTTTATTCACTTGGCAGAAACAAGAATATTTAAAAATGCTTCTTCTACTGACACTTTCCGTCTCCACAGAAATTTTGTTTGTAATATGTAACTTTCATAGACTGGCATCAACATTCCTGTTCTTCAGAGAAAAAGACAGGTCAAAGGAAGAAATAGACCACTGAAGGAGCAAGGAAGAAGCCAAGCATGTCCTGCTCCAGAAGGGAATTTTAAAAAAATTAAACATTTTTAAAAACTGACTCCACCTTCACAGATAAACTATAAGTGCTTGTCACAATCACTATATAAGAGTAAAAATTTTATGAGGGGTCAGGCAAAGCAGCAGAATTGATGTTCTCTGAAGTACCCAGTCCTCCAAGTATCGTGCCAGTAACTTAAGCAGAACCGTGTGAAACTGTACACTCCAGGTGATACTTAGCAACACTGCAGCATTTTCCAATTTAATTTCATCAAATGGTTTAAGGGGGAAAAAGCATCTTAAAAAAAAAGAATCATAAAATTCTACTGTTTAGCAACATTTTCTCAGTATATTTTTAATTATTATTCTGATTAACTTATTCTGATTTTTTTCTTCAATTTATATCAAAGACGACCTTCAAATAGTAAAAACCAATCAAATAATAAAAAATTCCAATTTACTAAAGACTCATTTATCCCCCTAAATAAGTGAGATAGATTTCAAAACTGCAAAGAGATTAAATATTTTTCATCATTCCAGCTCCAGCCCTGACAGGCTGTCACAATTTCTTTCTTTCTACCACAGAAAATCTAGGAACATTAATTCCTGGGTTGTTTTAGCAAGAAGGTGCTTGGTCCCCAACCCCAAAAGCACAGAAACAAGTTGTCCCTTACACTTGAGAGGCTGAATCCTAAAAGAAATATTGGCTCTAAGAGCATAGCATGTGAGGTGAGAGACAATTCATGTTTACTTCAGAACAAAGCATGTAAAGAGGAAAGGAAAACCTTTTCATCAAGTAGAACCAGCTACACTGGAGCTCAGAAAGCAGTTTTCTGCTTTTGGCTCTACCTTCATGCACCCTGGGAATACCAGCAATTTCTTCAAATTTCTGTCTGCTTTGATTTACCCCCATTAAAAAAAATTATAATTCATATACAAAACAATTCAAGATGTATAGATGAAAAACTCTCTAACAGATATTAGATGGTTTTCTGCATTTTGCCTAAGATCTAGAGTCTTAAAACCTTCTTTAATTCACAGTTCAGTGAATTATCCTGAAACTAAGTGTCTTTGGATAAAAACATTTGCATTTAGATACATTTAACCTTACATTAAAATCAAAAGATGAATAATCCTTTAATGCTCCTGTCATATTTATTAGCTCTGCTCAAGGTGAGCAAAAGCTCTTGGGAACAGCTGTGGCAGACATTCTTTCCCTTCACTCATTCACTATTTTTTCCCTTCTTTAACTGCAGGAGTTCAGTTCTAGCACTATTTTTTCATACTAGTTTTTCCCTCCTGGCACAAAAATCAGACTGCAGCAAAGACATAAGGGATGAAGGATAAAAGAAATAAGACATACACTAAATTAACTGTATACAGAGTGAAAGACACACTAAGCTCATTGTTCATAGATACATTCTGACCTATTCTACCATGAATCTCTACATCATATAAATCCAAAGATTCTCTCCCAAAGCTCAGCCTAATTATTTCTTCTGTTTGTGTTCCCAGAATCATTTAGGTTGGAAAGGAGCTCGAGACCATCTAGGTCAACTCACTGCTCAAGCATAGAACAGGTTGCTCAGGGATGTGCCCAGCCAAGTTTTGAGTATCAACAAGG